TACCTTTAACACCATCAAACAACAACATCTGCCTATCCCAGGTCCTTGGGAAGGACTCAATAGCTGGAGAAAAATGCCAAATCTAGCCTAAACATCTGGCTGGCTGTGCGACCAACCATAATAATAATAACAACAACAATATAATAAAAACACCTTAGCAATTGCTGCTGGCAATTTTGTCCAGCAGCTTTCATTTTTAAAAAAAAGAAGAGAAAAATTCTCTCCCTGGCAGGAAGAAGCTTGAATGTGCGGCTTGAATGGACAGTGTCTTTTTAGAGGACACTCTTAAAATTAACTTCCCATGTGGGCACTTCAAAGTTTAGGCTTGCCTATGGTTGCCACCTAAAGGTCTTTTCCTATCCTGAGACTTCTTCTGACCAGATTTTTAACTATAACTGTTATTTCCTTCCCAGGGAGGGTGAAGGCCTCTTACCTTTTCTGAAAGAGGTTTCAGATGAAGAGGCACTACAGTTCGAAACTGTGCTAGAACTTACTCAGTAATTTATTTTGTTCCAGCAGTTATTGCTGTTTTCTGGATTTGGATTCTGCCTGGGTTCAAAATATTTACAAATGCTGAAGATATAATAAACCACAGCAACTTTTGGAAAGCAATCCCAGAAGGAAGGGGAGAAATTAAAGGGATGGGGAAGGGACCCAAAATAGTCCATTTTTTCCGCAGAAGAGGACGTGTCACAATATCCAGTTTGAGCAAACTTCTCACCTTGGTCCCCTTGAATTTGACTAGGAATGCAAGCTCCAGAAAGCATGGGACTGTAATCCCAACATACATGGAAGGGGCTAGGTTTGGGTTGTGTGGATGAACACATCCCACCTGCTCAAGTTTATCTACTTGGTTGGTAAAAGCAACAGGAAACTTACCGTCAATCCCCAAAGCTCCTTGCTGTTTGTTTTCTGGACACGGTTCAAACTGATTGATAATTTCCAAGCAGTGCTCCTTGGTGACATTATTCATCTAAATTAAAAAAAAAAAGCATGATGCAGACAAATCGGTGCATTAAAGTAAAATCTGTCCAGTGATCCGGCAACTTGGACATTTTCTTTGCCAACCAGATCCTGTGTTCATTTCTCTCTCTCTCAACCATGCAAAGAGATTCTCCTCCCTGTCAATCAGTAAATCTTTGGCAGATCATTTTTGGTAAAATGCCAATGGTGGGGTGGATTGCCCCATCTGTTTCATTCCAAGGGGCATCTGGTGCCAAGCTGGCCAGCTTCTCCTGTTCTACAGCATTTCAACTACATGTAGAAGAACTTTTTCATGGTGTATCCTGCTTGGTTAAGGGATCAACAAGTAGGCTCTCTTTTGCTGGAGTTGTTGAAATGGAGACTAGATGGAAATCTTCTCTCAGGACCAAATTAAGGGATAAAAGAGACGGGGAGGATCCGGGGTGGATGTGAACAGAGGAACAAAGTTGAGAGATACCTTCTTCGATTTAAACAAAGCAGTTCTGCTGCCTTGCTGACAATGAACTAAGCCATTTGCCACTCTTCTGGGTCACTTTCAACTAAATCAGTCATAAACCCATTTTGGGTAATGGGTTGATACAGGAGGAGAGGAACCATGTAACAGACATGCATTTAAGGGGCTGTATTTTTTGCATTTTTCAAAAAGCATTTTTGGAAGGGTTTTCCCAGGCATTTTTCCTCCACAGGAGACCCTTCCACCAGTGTTTTCCATAACTGCACTGGAAAATTTGGAGCAATGTGTGACCTAAAGGAAAGCTGAGTTCCAAGTTGCACATCAGTCCAGAAGGTTTGTTTAAAAATGGGGACTTATGGAAACTCCTGGACTGCGGCCAATTAACCAATGTTTGTGTCCCTTCCAAACTGGAACAAGGCGAAAACAAAACCACCGTCTTGTAGTCCTGCCAATTAACCCTTCTTAGTAATCGCGGGGGATCAATAGCCCAGTGGTCCAGAAGCCAATGCTAATTCATTTGGAAGAACACTGAGTGCAAAGAGAAGCATATATTTCGTGCAATGCCTGCACAGGGAATCTCCAACAAACGGGGAGTTTTTCAGACACAAGAGCAGACGGGATTTTGTCACTTGCACATCCATAACACAGAAACAACAACAACAATAAAACCATTCCAGATTTTTTGGGATCAAAACAGGCCGAACTGCCACCTTTATTGCTTCCCTGCAGCCAAGTTGGTTGAAAGCAGCAGGGACAGAGGAAAAATTAACCGAGTCCTGAATTTTATTTGAATTTACTCAATTTTCAGCCTCTCCAGCCCAGAATGAACTAGAAGGCCCTAGCATGCCAAGAGCTGTGATGCTCAGAATTCCCCCCAAATGCCCAAAGCTGTATATATTAAGGAGAAATGTGCAAAAAAAGGCTTACAGGAATGTATGCATGTAGACATTTATATATGTGCATCTGGAGTTGTGTGAAACCAAAATGGGCAAATGTATCTCTCGAAGGGATCAAGTTCATTCCAGAGGATAGAATACCCTGTCAACATTTATTTTTCCGGTCTGTTTTGAAACTCAGACGTGTAAGATAATGAGCTTATTTCCCACAAGTGAAGAGGCGTCTGCGGGCACGGTTTTAGCATAAGGCTGCCAAAGGAAATGCCAATGGATTTTCAGGGTAACAACTTAATGCCATAGCACAGAAGCAAAAGAACAGATATTCCTGCTTTTGGAACCAGACTTGGGCTTTTAGGCAGAGCGTCGAGGGTGTTTAAGACAACCTTTACATTTTTCCCAGAGGCGCAACAGGAGTAGGTTAATTTGCTCTTTCTGGAGGCTTTTATTATTTATTTATGTCCTTCCTTTCACTTGGACACGGCCTGATTCCAGTCAATTTGGGGTGGCCCACAGCGTAAAAAAAAAAATCCAAACCGCGCTATGCAATCCAGACAAAATGAACAACGCGCGAGACGGCCAATCTGGCCATTGCTTCACAAAAGCATGTCGAATCTTTTGTCAATGCCATGTGCTGGGCCAGGATAAATGGATCTGCATAAGCCTCGTAGTTTAGCCCACTGGAAACCAGACAGTAAATCAATGTGGAAACACAGAGCAGACATTGCATCAGAGAGTCGTGAGACTGGCATGCAGACCGTTAACTGAAAGTGCGTAAGTGCACGTAGGCAGGTGTGGGGAATCTAGCAACTGAAGTAGAAAGGGTGAATTGTTTAACACAAAGGAAAAAAAAGGGGGGGACATGTATCTGGATTTTATGAGGGCATCCAGAAGAACCCCCACATTTATAGGAGGGAAACACTTTCGTCAGGGTCTGCTTCAAATCACAAAAGAGCATGTGGTCTTAAAAATTCTTCAGCAGACAAGATTGTACACGAAGCAAAGAAGAAAGGCAGAGAGACGAAGAAAAAGTATTTGACGGACTCAGTTTAGGTGCTGTTTAAAGAAGGTAGGAAGGAATTGGCTGCAAATTAGACTAATTCTCAGGGGCTGCGTTGCTTCCAGGTTTCAGTTGGGATTTTCCCAAGCTGTTTCCTATTTCTAAAACTGTAAAATCTTGAATGTCTCATTGGAAGCGTCTACCTTCATAAACTGAGCACACTGTTCCTTTGATAGATGAATAAGAGAAGGAAAGAGAAATTAGACAGTGGTAGATTGGAAAAGCTGGAAGTAATTTTAGATTGAATCTATCTCTTCTTTAAAAAAGTTAGTCCACGATGAGTTAAGCAACTCCACATAGCAGAGAAAGGAATTGTACAGTCAGGAAATAAAGCCCCAGCATAAGAAGAATGACCATCATTTGCTTTCGGTGACCGAGTCACACAAAACTGGCTACCAGGACAAAAAGGACCAAAAGCAGAAATGTGAGATGTTTTGATCTGCCTTCAAGGCAAAACACAGCATTTCAGTGACAATAAAAAGGAGTTTAAGACAGGAAACTATTAGGGATTAAAAAAATAGAGAGTTAATTTTCTTCTCTTCTCCAGGATCCTTCCTGCAAGTAGAGCCAGTTACAGCCTAGTTTGAAGACAATCTATCCTGGTGATATTTAGGGGAGATATCACTTTAATAACATCTGATTCCTAAAGAAAATATGGGATTGGAAGGAGAAGGAGGTCACGTGTGTCATGACATCAGACATCAGATATCTTTGATGAGCCTTCTAAGCTAACAATGACCTATTTTTCCTCATTATTATTGTCTCTTTAAAAGGGTCGCCCTAATTAATCCAAAAACACTGGTTGTGGTGCTTCCTGTTTATTTCTCCCTCCCACCCCCACACCCCCAGCAGGAGCTGTCAACGTTAAGAAGGACTGTATTTTTAAGGGTGAAAAAAATCCAAGATGATTTATATGTTTGTCTGCAAATATTTGCAGAAGTTCCCAGATTGTCAGAGATGACCTTCTTTTCCCATTGGGTCCAAACTGTGTTTCAGCAGAGGCAAAATCACCTTGAGCGGATCTTTCAAAAGTCATATTCACGTGCAACGTCTGATCCGAAAAATGGGAGGCGCATGTTGGTTTGGAAAAGAGAAGCTGTGAAATTGGTGTTGCTGGTTCTCCCTACCCTTCCTAGCAGGGGATAAGCCACCAAAGACATTGGCATCTCTTCCATTTTTTAACATTTAATTTTCACACTAGGACCCAGAATTACTTGTTTGTGTTGGGGGGAGGGAGATGTGTAAACACAACCATTTCCCTCTAATTGACCAGAAAGTGAGCTTGCATCCAGGCAAGGCAAGATGTTCCAAGAACAATTTTGCTGCTTTACTGGTTGCCGATGAAACTACGTAGTCACCCACTGGGGAAGATGAGCGGCATAAAAATTTAATAATAAATAAATAAATAAATAAATAAATAAATAAATATAGTCAAAACCCCAAAAGTCAAAGGGGAGAGGAGGGGAGAGAACGCACCATTTCTTGCCACCAACAGCAACTCTTCCCCTTCTTCTGGTTAAAAAAACACACAGACAAATCTGGACCAAATGGCTCCCCAATATGATTTACAAATAGGTATGTTGCTTGTGTTACATAGGACAAAAATGGAAAGGAACTCCATGAAGGAGGTGGAATAAAGGGATTTTCAATTAAATACTGGGAAGAATATCCTAGCAGTGAAAGAGTTTGCAGGCTCAAATGATCCTACTTTGGATCCATTATGTGAGGACCCAACTCTCTGGAGAAGGCTCTGATGCTGGGAAAGGTGGAAGGAAAGAGAAGAAGAGGACAATCTGCCAGAAGGGGGATGGACTCAGTTACAGTGGTGGTGAAGATCTGAAAGACTAGGTTGGGGATATGTTGTCACAGAGAAAAACTACAGTATGTGCTTGCTAGGAGTTGAAAACAACTTGATGGCACATAGTCAATCAATCCATCAGTCAAACAGTTTGACAGAATTAAGAGCCTGGGTCGTCTCTTTCAATGGAGAGTGAATGTTAAATGGTCATTTCTCAGGGACCCTGACGTCCTGCAACAGGAAGGAGTTGGGATGGATGATCTTCAGGAACCTTTCCAAGATCCTCTGATGCATTGATGATGTCTCCCCCCAGCTTTTCTTAGTCTTTTTTCTGTTGTTTTTGTGGTTCTGCTGGCAACTGCAACCAAAGTAATCGAAGAGACCCAAGGGAGTGGGCAGAGAGGGGCAACAACTTCACACCCACCTTTTGTTCGGTGTCCAGAAAGCGTTTCAGGTCGTCAGCATCTAGGAAGTCCTTGTGGTTGCTGTAGCTGAGCATGAGAAGGTACAAGTCACGCCGAGTGGACATCATCTTGTAGAAAGCACAGAACTCTTCAAAGTCCAGGGTGCCCTGGTTATCATCTGTATCAGCCTCCTGTTAAAACAACAGAAGGGCAAAACAGGTAGCACATAGGTAGAACTACACCTGCACTTCCCAGGAAAAGGGACAGTGGGCAATGATGTTTCTTGGCTTGGCGTTGCCTTCTTCTGAGATGTTTGACTTCCCAATCTAGCTTAAACCCCTGGTGTCCTAGTGGTGTCACATCCAACCAAGATCAGCTAAGATTGGTGTGTGGCCACTAGTGGCAACTGTTTTGTGAGTGCCCACCACATGCTTTCCAAATTTAAAAAGAGCCTATTGGCTCAAAATGTAATATGTTCTAATGCGATCAGAACAGACTAGAAATCAGCTACACACACACACACACACACACACACACAGCAAATCAGTGGGCATTAACAGATTTCCCTGCATGCTTTCACAGCCTTTTTTTTTACAACTACAAAGCATTCTTTTTCCTGTCTTCCAACCGATCGTTGATTCACTAACTGCAAAACATCCGATTCTGTTTCCAACACCGCCGTGATGAAGAGCTTCACACACCATTACCATCTGCCAGTATTTAATAGCAAACCACAGTGATAGGCTAAAGCCTAGGATATATAGGCGCTCTCTCCCTTAAGCAACCCAATAACCGTCATTTAATACCAAAAAGTCACCCGTTTTCCAATGGCAATTTCTTTCCCCTTTGCAAAATTAAAGCAACTCGGATGCTTGTGGAAGCCAGAGAGCAACCCCAAAGCTACAAACCCATTTAGAACCAGCACCAAACAGGTTGGGGTTGGGCTTGTCTCGGGTGAGGTTGTGCGTTAAAACGCTTTTCTGCCTAGCAGCACCCTGCCTGGAGAAAGCTAGCCTTTGGGCATCTCGCCTAAGGCAAACTTCCACTCATGAGATAGGCCAGGGAGAAGTCAGAAGAAGGAACAAAAGGAAGCATTTGCAGGACCAGCAGAGCCCGGCCCGAGCTCCTGGTATCTCAGAATGACTCTCCCCAGGTTTTGCAATTCTCCTCTCTCTTTAACCTATCGGCTGGAGGCAAATCACCATTTTAATTCCCACTTGTCCTACAAAGGCTGCAGTGAAAGTCATGTAAGAGTACATGGATCTTTGACCAGTGTGGCTGCATAGTGAAGGTATTGAGCCAGGCCTGGGGAGACTCAAATCCCCCATCAGCCAGGAGTAATGTTGGGTCAGTCACAGTCTCTTAGTCCAGTCTACTTTGAGGGTTGCTCTTTCGAGGACAAAAATGGTCCTACAGTCACAAGTCTAATGAGCAGGCCTAGGGAAAGAGACTGCCTTTTTAAGGAGCACAATGTTGGGCTTCAGATCTGAAGCAAAGCACATCCCAGAGTCCTTTCCTCTTGGTATTTCCTCTTTTTTGGGGGGGGGGACGGTTGGAGTCCTGACATGAAATCAGAGAATTGGAGTCTTCCTATCAGACCATGAGAGCCACTTCTCCTGTGGCACTTTTTGGGGATGGTCCCATGCTCCAGAAGTGGGGCTGAGGGCTCAAGCAAGCCATCACATACAAGGATTTTTAGTTTGCAGGACAGCTGGGTCTTTGTTTCAATGCACCAGTTTTATAAATGTAGGATTTTTAAGAGACATGCACACCGATGACAGCACGGCCCCTGTTGTTTCGTGACAACCTTTCACGCGGCTGAGAAGTTGGAATGTTCATACACATTCCCTCATCTGTGTACATCTTATGTCACTGAGATAAAACCTTTCGCTAATGCAAAAACAGGCCCTTAAATTCATCAACCAACAAAGATATATGGACACCAATGAAGACTTCAAAGGGCTAGGCTTAACTTTGTGCATTAGAAAATGGATATCAAGAATTGTTCAGAGGATGGGGAATCAAACAGCAAAGTCCCTCTGCCAAGCCAACCAGACTGGAGCACGTTCCACCAGAGAAAACCAAACAGGGTCAATAAATGTGAAGTAAGGCAATCCTGGAGGTATCAAAGAGAAAACAGCTGCGAGTGTTTCAATCTCCAGCCTTGCCTTTCTGAAATTTCAATTAAAACTGAGTACTGTTAACAGGAGAAGAAGAGAAAGGAGGGTCGGAAAAATCAAGCGCCAAAGCAAATGTAATAAAGTTACATGGCGCTTCTTTTTGGAGCCCAGTCAAATCCAAGAAGCGTAGCCAAGAAATGCACGGAGGTAGCAGGGAACTGACATCCAAATTAAATAGCTACTTGGATAAATGATGCCAGGAGGAAGATAGAAAGCTGGATGGCCAAGGTCCTGTGGTCTGAATCTTAAGCCGTATTCTGGGGTTCAGCAAAGGAGACCACACCTCTTCTGTTTCTACAATATTCCACTTGTATCAAATATGGTTTTCAGCAGGTGGTAGATCCTGCTGAAAATATGATTTGATCATGCAATCTATTTTCTGTCCCTGTTATGCATTCTCCAACCAATTACATGTAGCCATTAGGACTTTGATGGCAACATTTCAACTTGTGGGGGAAATTGGAGATTTCAATAAATATTCCCCGGCTGCCTGAAGTGGAAGGGGTCAATCAATTGCTGAAGGTCATCCTGCCTGCAATGGCCACTAAGTTGAGGTGGGGCTTCCAAGATGGCAGTCAATAGCTATGGGGTCTCCCTAGACAGCGACCTAGACCCTGTTCTGATGTGTGCGGATCAGAACAGGGGCTAAGTAGGCAAAACCATTATTTTTCTTTCAAAACCCAGGAATCGACAATCCAATGAACCTCAGCAACATCAAGAGGTTCCTGCTGCAGAGCACCAATTTTACGTCAGAACCCAAGATAGATTGCAAATTAAGTTTTACAGGGGGAAAACCATGCATTTCCCTTAGCAGGTATCTAAAAAGTCACTTTAATGAATTAATGGTGTTAATTTGAAATGGTCTACTACATCTTTAGTGATAATCGGCATATCTATTTTCCATTTAATTCTCTCTCTCCACAAATGCAAACACACACCACCTTTTTTTTTTTTTACAGATGAAAGTATTTCTTTTCTTAATCCTCTGACTTTAAAAGAGTGTTATATTTAGCTTTCCACGGTGCTATCTCTTTACAGTCGGCATCTGGAGGAGCAGCTAATCGAGGCAGAGAAAAAGTATGAATTTTTTTTAAAAAGGGAGGGGGGTTGGAACAAGCTTATTAAAAATGGCCAACAATAGAGAATAAGTTCTCTCTTTCTGGGTTTCACAGGAATTGCTTCACTTTTTTGACATTACTGCGTCTAGCTAAGTGTGGGCCAGACTGACTGGGAGCAATTCTATGGGATTTTAGTAGGATTTTTCCTAGTGCTGCATCAATGAGCTGTGAGACCTGCCAAAATGAAGAGAGATTTTAGCTGTCCTGCTTTTAAATAGTCTGACAGATCAGGAGCAAACACAGGAGCTGCTCAGTTTGAGAACATAAGTACAGCTCAACCACGCAATTTGTCCCAAAATTAGCTGGATCTCAGTTTAGGAGCTTCTCAACAGCCTTGCAAGTTCAGCCCTTGTTAGAGTATCAATCTGGCTTTCTTCTCCAGACTGGGCTCAGGGAAAGAAAAGCTCAGCCCCAGCCCCTTTGGATATGGGCCATATCTTGGTTCTCATCCAGAGAGAAGGAACATATTGCAGGAGTCAGCCTGATCCAGAAAGATGATTCTAGCTGTAAACCAGAAGAACTAGCCTCCATTTGCAGTATAGATAGAAAGGGGTCACTTGCCACAGGGAACTGCTCTAGAATCGGACTGGTCATATCAGAAATACGCAAGGGCTGGCTCAGTGGCGATATTTATATTTTTAGAGGCTGCAGTTTCAATAGCAATAGAACCACAAGAGCACATAGGAGGCAGGGCAGAGTTCTGGAAACTCAGCATTTTGATGCTGTGAGAAAACAAGCAAAAGAGCTCAAGAAATGCCAACTTCAGCAGCCCTGGAAAGGTAAAGACTTTGATTTACAAGAAACCCTTCTCTTAAAACTTTGTATATCCAAAGGTGAACAACGTTCTGTTTCCAGAGCACAGTGTTTTTGCTTGCAAGTATCTGGGCAAACGGAGATGGATTTCAGGAAAAAACAGGATTCCCTCTGTCACCATTCACTTAGAAAATAGGTCAGATCAAAAAACAGAGAAGAGCTTCAGAAACAGCCTTGTTCATCTAACACTGGACTTCCCACCCTTGCCCAAAACACTGAGTTTGTCGTCTCAATCAGAGTCATTTGCGCTATGTGAGGTGGTCCCATGTAGAGGGCAGAGGGAATGGCCTTGAGGAACAGATGCTACCAAGACAACAGTCAGATAAAAGGGACCTGAGTCCGGGACAAGAAAGTTAAAGGTCTCAGACAGGCCCCTCCCTAAGGAGGGGAGCGCATTCAGACTTGCAGCCATCTGTTACTATAGCTTTACAATATAAGTAGTACTGAACTAGTACTGACACTGGGTTCCATTGGGTCTAATCTACCTTGAAGGGCTGACATCCATTCAGGAACACGCCGCCTCCAAGAGCAGCAACGATTTCACCATGGAAGTTGGGAGACAGCTGTTGCAGGCCCATTTGCAAGTGTGCCAAGCTACAAAATCGACATCTGACGGTAAGCCCGAGGTGGAGCCTGCCAGAGCTACAGCCACAAGGAGGGCCAATTGCTGCCGAGGTCAGCTGTCCCTCCAAGCACTGCCACCTGCCTCACTAGATGCCGCAGTGCATGATGGAGCCTTACCTTAAACATCTGCTTGACTTTCTGACGGGGGAGGTTGACGTTCAGCTTGTGCATCAGCTGGAGGACCTCATTAATGCTCAGGCTGCCATCTCCATTTTTATCCGCTTCATCAAAGGTTTGCTTCAACCACATTTAACAGGAGTCAAGGAAAGGGAAAGGACGGCTTGGGAAAAACAAGGGATGGTAAAGAGAGACAGAAAAGCAACTTTTTTTTCTGAATGGGCCTTCCTAGAGACAGCCATTGGACTGTTTCTCTAGGAAGATGGTTGGAAAGGAGAATAAAGAGAATATTTATTTATTTTATTATAAAGAGAAGTGAGAAGTATGCAACACGTGCCACTGGGAAATGTCCAGATCAGGCTGCTGAGTGTTCCAGAAGTGTTCCAACTTCAAAGTCTGAACATCTCATGATGCCACGTTTTACCACTTTGTACGTAAAATGGGACGGTCAGCCTTCAAGCTACCAGACCCATTCTCAAATTCATTGCTTGTTAAATCACTGATCTGAGATAGTATGGGCTGACAGTTGTTCCCTTTAACTCATCTTGCCAACTTCTGTTGGAAATGGCAGGATGCCCTGATCCTTCCCCACCAATACAATTCAAGAAACTATTTTTTGTAGCTGTAATTCTCGGGCCCGTTAAGATGCCCGGTGATAGTAATCTCAAAACCATGAATAGATTATATTTCAATAAAATAGTAAAAATCCACTGAAACTAACACATTTTTCTCAGGTCAAATCCCAATGATTCTCACAAAGTTGCGACATGAAAGAAGTCTGCAGTTTCTCCTAAGTGAAAGAGAAGCTTTGGAAGAACAGAGTTTTGTCAAAAATAAGGGCAAAAAGGGGGTGGGGAGTTAAACCCCAATTTCTAGTGCCAAAGTCCCAATCCTCAGCTCCACACACACGCTCACAAAGACACGTTCAGTATGATCACACTTAGCCCTCAACTGGGTCTTGATGGAGCTTACTGAAAGTAAATCCCTATTTAAATGCTATTTTTACCATTAAAAACCTATGGACCAAGCTATCTGTTCAACTTGTAGCTTCAGAAATTTAATGCGGATCAAACCGCAAAACAAATGCACGAAGGGAGAACGAAGGCGAAGGGAAAAGCCGAGGACGTCGTGGTGGGGTGGAACCGATGAGATCCTGAAAAAGAGAGGAGAAGCTTCAAGAATAAAAGGCAGTGCGTCAAGTAGTGCATGGATGTGAAGGAAGCAAGGATGCTTTGTAAGGATAGAAAGGAACGACGCGCAGTGGTGGTGCAAACTAAACTTAGTCGGATTCTTTTTTTTTCCTCTGGTCTCCTACATTTAATTTATTTTGTTTCCTATGTCTCAGTGTTTTTCTGCATTTCGTGCTGCTTAGCCCAAAAGGAAATAGTGTGATAGACTTCTGGGCCCAGAGAAGAAAGATAAGCTAGGGGAGATAAGCAAAAAGGAAGGGCCATCACCCCAAGGCATTAGCCTATAAGCTCAGGATCCCTTCATCCAAAAAGGATACTGGTCTCTAGTCCTCTGCCGTTTTGACAGACTGTCTTCATCGCTTATCCCAGCCATTAGGTACTTGAGGCCAGTGATCCACATCCGCGCCTCCTCCCCAGTGGATGACACCAGATCGAGGGACTCCATGTGATCTCCATAGTAGATAGTGAAGCAACAGTTGGGGTCGAAGCTGCCATCGCCGTAGCGCTGGAAGATCTCTGACTGCTTCCCCTCGCACACTTCCTGGATAGAATCTATGGAGACTGGGAAAAAAAATGGCAGAACTAGAATGCAACATGTCTCCTTTGAAAAATGGGAGCAGCTGCTGCCAGATGTGGTGAGGGTTAGCAGGTTAGAAGATGTAGAGGAAAGAGGGAATGGCCTTGAAGGACAGTTACCAAGACAATGGTCAGATAAAGGAGGACTGTGTCCAGGGCAGGAATGTAACCTGAGAAAACGTCCCAGACAAGACCCTCCCTGGTTCTCATGAAGATAAATGGAGGGAAGGGGGAAGTGCATTCAGACTTGCAAGATTCTGTTACTATAGCTTTACAATAAAAGTAGTACTAACCTATGTGACGTTGAGTTCCTAGTCTGATCTACCCTGAAGGACTGACAGAAGGACCAATTTGTGGTGGAGAGAGCTATCAAGGAATACAAGTTTCTAAGCCTGTATAGGACTTTAAAAATGAAAGGTAGCACATCTTAAACACCAATCACTGGGAAACAATAGGGGAAGGAGCCTTTCCATCTCTAGAAGCACCTGGTTGGCCATAAGGTAACATAGAATGCTGGGCTAACTTACATTTCACACTTACTTTTAGCTTTTTCGTTTTTTCGCGAGGGTCTCCAGCGAATGCATGATTTATGTTCATCCAGGTAGTAGAAACGAACAAGTCCTTTGGAACTGCCTCTGAGTTTGATCATCTGAGTACCTGCTTGCATGGAACTCATACATTTTTCCACTACGGGAGAAGACAGAATAAAAAAGGTTTGTTATGCTAAAAATCATGCACCTCGTGGCGCATACTCAATTTTCAGAGGTCAAGACAATAACGTTTTTATTGGCAAATCAAGTTATGGGTTTAGAACACACATTCCCAGCTGCAAATCCCAGTATGTAGCTTTTGTAGGCATTTATTTTAGCTATGAGCTGCATTGCAAAATGTGGACTAGTGTGAAAATCAGTATATAACTGCATTCCAGGGAGTGTAAAGATGCAGGATTTGCAAATTGGATAAATTTGCTGGTCAAATGAATTTACTCCAGGCATGGCTTGCTATTTATCTACCATTATCTCATAGTGATAGTGTTGAAACCCTACCCACATACTTCTCTATCATCAATCTTACCACAAACTGCAACACAATCTTATTACTCCTTTATTACCTTCAGTTTCAGGTTGCACTGACTCTTTACCTTAGTTTCCGCCAAGCTGATCTGAGCAAAGCCCTCTCTTATAATGTCATCAAATTCTGTTTAATAGCTGGCAAGATCTATGAGGATCTTGCCAGGAGCAGTTTGATTTGATTACATTTTTATTTACTTTTATTTGCCTTATTCTACTTTTAACCCAATTTTATCTAATTAATCTAATTAATGTTATTCTGCTCTGTTACTCTAGTCTGGTCAATGACCAAAATAGTCCTTTAACCATGCCCAATATCCTTAGTTCTCTTTAAGCTTCCTTCCTTCCCTAGCCTTCCATGCTTGGACCATGAAAGTGTCTGTAGGCACCTCTCTGTCAATTCAATTTCTGTGAAATGGAGCACAGTTCATCGAAACATTATGCAGTAATAAACCTGCTAGTGTTGTTGTGTTGTGGATTCTGTACTGAAGTCTGGAGAGCAGCAATGGGCCTCCATAGACTTCTAATCAGCTTGTGAGTTCTTAAAATGTATCTATCATCTTTGTGCGGCTATTATGGAAGTTTTGAGAAGTTGGTCACAAAAGCCATCAAGTTTCCTTTTAAGGCTGAAACAATCCATCATAATGCTCCCAAGTCAAGTCATTAAAGCATCCGCTTCCCATTCTGCCATTCACCCTACAGGCAAGTTACATGGCATAGCCCCCATGGCATAGCCCCCATAGCTTTTGCTTGTATCTAATCCCTCCCATTGAGGAGCGCATGGAGGGTATTAGCTCATTCTGACATCCTCTAAGACAGGGTTCCTCAACCTCAGCAACTTTAAGATGGGTGGACTTCAACTCCCAGAATTCCCCAGCCAGCATGGC